GGACGATTGATGGAATCATTAGGACCAGAAAGTAGTAACTGTGTTTGTTTTTTTTTTTTTTCAAATAAAATTAAGATGAAAACAATAATAAAACGATGAACAACGGGTTTTTGTGCTGAATACTATATATTTACGATTTATATAATGTTGATCATATACGTTCCCAAGTTCGACAGGGATGTCACTTTTTACCGTTCTCGCTATAGAGTACAGAGAAAATTAATGCATGCTGGCGCCGCAAGAAAACGGGAGTTGCAACAAAACTCTTAATTACACGGGCTCTGGAAAAGAAAAAAATGAAAAATACTGGTGCTAAATTTATAAAAAATATCATATACTACGTGGTGTATCCAGAATCCATGTTTGGTGGGTCCTTGATACCGAAAAAATTTGTTAAACGCGGCAAAACGTGTCTCTCGCGTCCGTTCTGTGTACAACGCTAGCGGATTTAACCGTTCAGCCGGGGAATTTTTCTCAAATGGGATATTTCCCGCAATCGACTGGCTTGATGGTCCGCGGGCCCATTGAATTTGAAAGTGATCCTTTAATTTTTTTTTGGGGGCGGGGGGTACTTAACATGAACTTCTGGTTACATTTAACGAATTTTTTTTTAAAAAATGGCTTCATGTTTTTTATTACTTCTGTTTTTGTTGTTTGGATGTGTGAAGAACGTTTAAGAGACGGCGCAGGTTGACATGTTCGTTTGAAAACTCTGAGTCTTCGAGTGTACGGAGTCTTCCTACACCTAAAATATTAAAGACGATTTCCCTTTAATGAAACTGTTTTCTAGGATAGATTTAAAATAGTCAGGTATAATTTTCAAACTTCGAGATTTTTCGCGTAATTCTTGCGTGTAAATGCGGGCGAGAAAGTAGTGCTGTTTTAAGCTCCACTACTATGACAGGCAACGGTTAAATCATAGAAAAATCACGTTTCCATGTTTGCCAAGCAAATGACGCGCCTCTTGATCCATCCAGGTTCATGTTTAGATATGTCTAAAAGTTTCGCTTGGGTCTGAGGTACGACTGACTTGCCTGGTGCCATGTCCACCACTTTTTGGATGGAGGCGCAGAATCGACAGATCGGGAGGAAACAGCCCAGTCGCTGGAAATTCCAGTCTAAAAAGGGGATTTCAATAGGCCGACACGCGATTTCACAGATGTGCGGATAGGAAAGGGAGAAAGTTGTTCATTTCCTCGAAAGTATACGTTTTTCGTGAAACGTATTCCCTATGTCGTATACGAGCCTCTGATATGTAAGCAAAAGTTAAAAGAAAAAAACAAAATGGTATGCCTTCGCACTATTCCTATGTATATGACACGTATTTTAATCACAATTTTTAAATAGTTAAATGGTCAGAGAAAGTTTCTGCAGTTTTCCTGTTTTCTATAATAAAATGTAAGATTCTATAGAAAGGGCTATAAACACCATTGAAAGCAATTACGAGCTAAAGTTTTGTCATTGAAAGTTTTGCAAAAATGCATTTGTAATCTGTGGGATTTTTTTAGGTACGATTAATTTTCCACCTACCTACTTCGAACGTTTAAGACTTTAAAAGAATGATAATGATTGCGACTGTCACCTTATTTGTTAAAATAGTAGTTTTTAGTTTTCGTCTATAACTACATGGAAGATGTCGCACGAAAGCAGCCAGCAAAAAATAGCATATAATCTGTGGCTCTAAATATGTGCTCATGCTCTTTGGGCATCGATTGCTATTATTCCATTACAGACAATTAAGGAATATTAAATTCTATTTCTTTTCAACGAAATTATTGGGAAAATTCATATCGGCTTTTTATATATCAATTTCCATATCACTTTCATGAGAGGTACGACAGGGATGGAAAGAATTCTGCTGAGGAACAATTTAAGCAATATGTAGAAAAAAATGATTCGGGGAAATGCAACTGCTACGGCTATTAATCAAGTGCAATGCATTATTTTGTCACGGAATGTAGCGGTGAATTTTCCCCATCGGATTGGCGAACAACTAACCCGTCGGCTTTCCTAGTTTTTCCTCGACCAGGTATCCCCACCAGCGGGTTAAGTGCCCCGGCTGGGTAAAGCTCTAAGCCCTCTGGTTGGTCCTCCCGCATGGTTGTGGTAGTGTAGATTATGTGTGTGGTAAGTAAGATGAGGGATAGGACAAGGAAGAGGAAGGGACAAAGATCGCGCGCGGTCGTTGGTCCCATTTGTTAAGGTCACTGCCTCGGCATGTCGCTGTGTTGAATCCGGAGAACCCAACAAAGAACGGATCAGAGGGGTCGGCCGTTAGAAATTCTCCTCCAGTCAGCGCTGAAATCGACCTAGCTCGTGTCGAAAATCGGACCCTTAGGACCTTCCGGCAGAGGCACTGCTGTGCCACATCAATTGATGGCCTAAGACGGTGGTTTAAGCAATATGCGAAATTCATCACTGCTATGACAAAGTAACACATGAACATCTGACAGCCGCTAAATTAAATGACGTTCTTATTCGCATTATTTGGGTCATCATGGTTGGGCGAGATAAATACAATTTTTGTATATCTCGGCTTAGGAGGAGGTGCATCGGCAGTGCTTTTAGTCAGTAAGAAGAAATTAAGATACTGGTATTAAGATAGTTAAAATCTTGTCATTGTTCAGATATGACCTTCAAGACGATTTAAGCTAATACAATTAAGCTAATGTCAACTACAACCTTTTAATATATAATTAATTATCTTCAAGCCATTCCAAAGAATGCTTTCATATATCAAGAAGAAACAATTTTTTTAAAAAGCATGGAAAAGTTTTGGTCCGTAACGCAGATAGTAACGAAACTTTCGACAAATACCGAATTTATCCTAGAAGATGATCTAATGCAGGTTGTGTAAAGCGCAGGATAAGCCGTCGCGTTAGCCGTCCCAAACGAGTCCAGATACAGGATGAACGACGTGTACAGGCTGCGTAACGATGCATAGAGGCCGGAAATAACCAGCGTGGCAAACTCTCTCTCCCCGTGATAGCGGTAAAGCCAGTTCGGGCATCGGCAATAGGGTCCCTGATGACATGAAATAATTTTTAATTTTTTTAAACAATTATATAAATCAGACACTTAATTTGGGAAACCATGTAATTATACTTTCGAGAAAATTTTTGGTGCTAATAAATGGCAAATATCAAATTGGAAGTCCCAGATGTAACGAAAGTGAAAAATTAGTACCTTTTAAATCGTGAAAAACTCTTATTTTTTATTATTGGGGAAATACAAAGTAATTTTATATATGAAGTCGAAATCGTGTAACCACAAAAACTCCTGCATCAAACTATTTTTTTAAAAGATACGTTAATGTTGCATCCTAAACTAAGCCATAATATTGGGAGGGAACGATGAATGAAATGAGGGGACGTTCTCATTTGCAATGACCTAGGGCCCTTTGAGTATTAATTACGTCACTGGGTAGCCTCCTGGTAGTAAATCTGCCAGACAGAAAACAGTAGGTAGACACAACAGCCTCGCAAGAGCAGAACATCTCCTGGTACTCCTTTTCATAGAAACTACGATATGATAAAAGCATAACTCTATTCGCAATCTCTTCTCGAAATCGAATTTTTTTGGGCCCAACCTTTTTTTGGATGAAGCAACAGTTTATAGAAGGGAGCCTTTTACGGCAGTTCTTTATTTTATGACTAGTTACTACAGTGTATATTCCTTCTCATAAATAAGGCTAACAGGAACAAAAATGTAGGGAACGGTAATGTGTCAAAATAAAAGTATTTCATAAAAAATATTGGTTAACCAATAAATTCTAAAAATATGTGTTTCAACTTTTTGTTCAACTATAATTTGATCTCGCGATGGCTTAACTAAGTTGAATGCAAGGTCAAAGAGATGGAGGGTTTTTTTAAATTTACGAATGTGTCTCCACAGTCATGGCCTGGTAATTCTCTTGGAGTTTGAAAGGCAATCTTGGTTTTGTGGTCTGTGGCTCCCGGTGTAACACAACATGTTGCTGAACAACACTTACACCAATCATTTTCGCAATAACGTAACATCCACTCATCAACAATAAATAAATACTCCCATATTAACACTGCATGTAAATCAAATATTTTTACAATCCGTTTTTCACGAATACTGCAGTAACATAGTGTATTATTCAGTGCAACAAATTCTTTTAGTGCCAAAAACATCACACAGAATGCTCGCTCCAAAATACAAGATGCAAATGATATAAATAGAAAATATTTAATTGGCCAGCGCACTCCGCCGCTTTTTGGGTGGGTCTGTAGAGATTTTCTAGATAGCTTTAAAGATATCACTTTTATGAAATGCATATGTTGTGTATTCTTAAAATCATAAAGAAAGCACGGCCAAAACGTGGTTCAGGGGGCATCACCTGATTGTCATACAGTGCCTTTGATGGGAGGCCTAGGGTTCGAGTCCGCAAGAGGCAGGATTTTGAACACAAAGCTTTCTCAGCCTTGGTCAAAGTTCAGCTGCTGTCTGGCAGGGAGAATTCTATGCGACCCTGATGTGGTGCTAAGTCAGTGGTTTTCTGTTTTTTTCGAATACTACGCACTAGAAATGCGCGGAGCAGTATAACTAAGAAAAGGGGCCACCGACGCGCGCGCATCATTCCTTCCTCTTTCTGTCCTATCCTCATCCTTATTATACACACTTACAACAAAAATGTCCCTACACTACCACACTTGGCGGGGGACCAGACTGGACTTAGAGCTTGTTCCAGACTGGGAGCGGTGTCCCTCTGGTGGGAGAAACCTGGTTGATAGAAATACAGCCAAGGCTGAGTAGTTCGACCACGGGATCTTCGCCAACCAACTCGGGTAATTACACCGGCCACCCTCTCGCCGATAAAACACGCACTACATAACGAGACTAATGACCTTTAGCACTTGATACGCCTTGTAGCAATAATCAATGAAAAAATCTTATATAGTTTTTATTGAACTGTTGAAAACAATTATTGTATGAGCACAGGCACTGTGACAATACCAAACGTAAATGGTCTTAGACTCGACTACGACTACGACGTCGCCGTGGCCGTCATCTGCGGCATGTACCTCATCTTCGGCGTCGTCTACAGCCTCTTCGGTGAGTGCGGCGCGAGGGTCGGGGCAGTCACGAGACCGGCCGAGCTCTTCGTGGCTTGTCTCGCTGACGCGGTATGACAAGGCTCTCTAAACGCCGGGCGACCCGAGATGCGGTGGTTTGGCCGCTCGCCTTTCGCCTCTGGATGCCCGGGTTCAAATACCGATCGATCCATGGAGAGGTTACGGTGGACAAAGCGCGTTCGCGGCAGGTTTTCAGGAGGTTCCCCTTTTGCCCTTGCTCTTGTTCCACCATTGCTTCATTGTCATTCGCATCACATCTCCGCAATCACATTCGCATATCTATAAAATTCATTTGTTCGCACTCCTTATGACAATAAAGGATACAAACTGGTATCACAATGAAAAAGAATAATAAGAACAAAAAGAAAAAGGACGACGCGGAGGAAAAGGTGGAGGCACACCATAACGAGGGATATTCATCAAACCATGTGTCAGAGTATTTGATATTTCGGAGCGAATGGTATTTTGGGAAATGGTAATTCACCCTTACGTAATGCTATAAACAGCTCCTATCGTGTAAACAGTGGTATCATATTGCACAGCCTTTTCTACGAAACATGAAATTTTAGTTACCATTATGAACTCGTACACCCAGATGTCTCAAATGTGAGCGGACCTCATTCCAGACTACGTTTAGCAGGATATAACACCAATATATAGTATACATATTTATAGAAGTTACATTTATTATTACTGCAAAGTTATTGGAAGAAAATACGAGTATGTTTAGTGTCTCGTATTAACAGGCAACATATGTCTAAATAATCCTGTTTTTAACGCAATCATTTCTGATAGCCGAGACATATTTGATGCCTTTAAGAGATGTATGAAAGAACGGAATGTTCAATTTGACAATGAATTGCTTGGTTGTACACGCACTATGTGAACAATAGTATTGTGAAATTTCATTTTATAACAGTGCCTTCGCTATCGACAGCAATAATTGCCTTAGATAATTGTGTTAAATTAATTTTAAAGTATTTATTCTATTCGGTTTCTTCTGTAGCCATTTTAGAACACTAGCCAATGTCATTAATATCAATGCTCTCACTATCGATACAAGCCGTGTTGATTGGCATACATTATTTGAACAATGAAGGCATCTTGTTTGTCGGTTTGGGATATTTACGTAGACGGCTTTTAGCGATGCTTACTTCGGTCTTTCTTAGAGTAACAAATGTACAACTTCAGTATATGATTAAAATCCTAGATGTTTTGTACAAGCATTACACATGAATCCAAATACCAAATCCCTGGGAAACCTCTAGGATTTCTTAGATTTGTTGAGAGAAGAAAGATAAAACGAATGCAGACACCGTCCGGCGTTGCCTATCCATCCGTGACGTCACCGTCACCGCCATCGCAGCCGTACATGCCAAGCCCGATCTAGTCTATCGATTCAGGGGTCACGACCGCCCCACACAGTTGGAGGAAATCGTAAGGTCTTTTTGACCTCAGTCTAAAAATCGGATCTCATTTGTATCGCGGCACGTTGAACTTAAAAAAACACGTTCGTGAAATTATAAGTTCAACACAAGCAACTCTTACATTTTTAGATGCCTACTTATCTTACACCCCTAGGTCCATTCCGCATTTAACTAATGACGTACTATAAATACATTTACATTTAAATCAGATTCTGTGCTTCATCACAATTATAATATCTGTCTACCCTTTTCATTTTTGTGCTGTAATGATAGTAAGAATATTATTGAAAAATGGAATACATAGTGATCAACATTTATAAAAATAAAACAAAATAGAGAAAGTCGGGAGTCTTTGAATACAAGAACTGGTACGAAATTACTGCATTCAAGTTTCATTTTTGGGTGATGACGTCAAATTAATGTCCTATTACTTTGGACTCAGGACATGTTCCTTGGAGAGGGAACTTCAAAGAGATTGTTCATGCTCTAATTTTTTCGCTGAAATATAAATTTTGGGTCATTATTTTAAGCTAGTTGTATGCAGAAGCAAAAGCTACTCAGTTATTGAATGTCATTTCAAGTATTAGAATAAAATAATTATTATATTAAAGAAATGCAATGAAAGGAAACAAAATCTGCCAGGCTCATGTAATCATGAAGGAAATGCCCATTCGTTGACATTTGTACACTTTTTTATCTTAGGAAAATTGTAAGGGAATTCCAAATATTGCTATTCTGACTACAGGAGTCCCGTCAATGACTTCATTTGCTCAGGTGACACCTACCAAAAATCTTCACGAAAAACGTTACTTTTTCAGCAACTGTAACGTTCGAGTCTCTGGAACTACTTCTTTTATAGTGTCTCAGAACATGGCCTGTGCAGTCAACTGCTGCAGCTGGAATTGTTAAGATAGAGAAGAAAAAAAGTTTTAAGCCCATAAAAACCGGCATTACTTCGCGAGACTACGCTGTTTCAACCATTGAATTACTCTGAACTGGATCACTGAGTTCAAAGAAGAAAAGAAAGAGCGTTATCACGCGACAATAAAGCAAATTACTTGCAGGTGGCCTTGGTAACAGAATTGCTTGCATGTACTAGTAACATTTTTAACCGTGAAAGTAAAACTTAATTAAAATGTGTCATTTTCCCCGAGAGTTGAGTAAATAAAGAATCGAATACGACATTTTCGATTTGTGAGCGCTAGAGTTATTTTTAAATTTTGTCTATTTCTGGAATTATAAACATAGATACTGATGCATGGTATTCTTTGTCAACCATTACGGGCTACAATTCCACCACTAAAACCCTCCCACAGTCTCATTGTTTGCAGGAACTTGCCATAATTCGCTGAGTGATGACGTCTTTAGTACTGCGCCGACCAGTTGATAACTCGCACTTCCTATTAGTATGCTCTGTTATCATTGATTCATATTGTCGCCGCCACGCTTTGTTTACCGACTACATAACAATATCACCTTATAGTCAGCGCTTGTCTATTTAAATATGTCCTTCATTTATTGTTCTAAGTTAGTTCGTTTGAATATCATTCTTTATATCTTTATCAAAGGTGAACCCAGGATTTTTCTGTATGTGTGTGTGTGTGTGGGGGGGGGAGGAGGCTACCGATATAGTGTCCTGCTAAGATATTGTTTTTTAAAGAATGTTTTATTTATGTTGAGTTTAAAAAAATGTGTTATTTGATGACTTGTAGTTAATATGTACAACGTTAACAATTGACAAACTGAATAACTTTCGTTACTACAGAAAATTAGAAAAGTAGTAGTAAAAAGTATATTTTTAATACGTATCAATGACTTGGGTGGGGGTGGGGGCTGAAGGCCAAAAAGCCCCTCCCCTTGGGACTGACACTGAGTTTTACACATTGAGTAGGTGCATTTCATGTATCATTTTCTCCCTATTAATGCTACAATACAAAATGTCTTTTTGAACTTTCACATGATACCAAACCGAATTGTTCGCTTCTGGTAAAGAGAGAAAGCGAGGTCTAGTTAAAGCCCGTGCCAAAAGACTATGTAAAACCGCTTAATGTTATATGATCAGTTTACGTGGTTACGTCTTTTGGAAGATATAATTGGTAAATGAACCAATACTTACTGAATTTACAGTAAAAAAATAATATCAATTATATATTATTATTATTATTATTATTATTATTATTATTATTAATAAAATCAATTATTTCATCTTCCACATCTCGTGAAAATAAAAATGTCAAAACATTCCGTAACCTGTTTTTGCGAACCGGTACTTCGGTTTGAAACGTTTTACGTGAAAAGTTCACTTGCGAGCGTATCCCGGAAGAAAATCCTGGTTGGCCACGCCTCTGGAAGGCTCCGTCATTAAAGCCGCGCCGAGGCGAGTCACCGAGCTGAGCGCGGACGCGAAGTGCGTGGCGTGGCGTGGCGTTGCGTTCGTCCATCGCCGTTTGCCGAGCTGCGAGCGCGCGGCGGCAGCTACCGGTTCCGCGGCGCGGCGCGGGCTCCTTCCACGGCCGCCTGTCGCGTCTCGCTGCCGTCTCGCAGGGGGCGCTGGCCTCCGCCGGCCTTGCGCCGCTGCGTTGCCTTTGCCGCAGGGGGCCTTGCCTTTGCCTTGCCTGGACCGGACCGGCGTGGGACACGGCGCGGCGCGGCCCAGCACAGCACGACGTGGGCGGGGATCACGGTATTGCGTAGGATTCACGAAGACGCATCGCACAAAAGCAGCAGCGGAAAAAAGAAGATGATGGAGCTTGGGCGGTCGCTAAGTGGAGACCTTGCGGAAAAATTGTAGGTTGTGCCGAGGACTCTTTTCAGGTTTCGGTGTTTGGCCTTGATGGACCTTGGTCATTAAATTCATTTTATGCCGAATTTTTGAGATATGATTACTGAAATGGTAAACATTTATACTAATAAGCTAATAAAATTACAATCATAAAATACAACTCTGCCAATACATGTTTAATAAGGCAATTTTCATTTCAATTTAATCATCAAAGTTATCCGAAACATTGAAGTCCCAATAACGTTTCTGACATCCAGTCACTTTTCACTTCTTTCAGAGAAGGCAACGGTTATCGGGTAAATCATAATTGCCGCATCTTATAGCGAGCTTGTCGCATCTCTTGTTGGAGGTCTCCAGTATGATTTTTTATGTCTTTTGTATTTATAGGTCTTGTATTTGTTTTGTATGTCTCCGGAATCCTGAAGGTCTACGGTACGATTTTTTTGTGGGGTGGAGTGGAGGAATAAAGAAAGTAATTGAAATGCAAGTTTTCCCGCAGAATTTTAGTTTAAGTCTCGATAATATTTTTTCGGTTTATTGAAGTTAAAATGGTACATGCGGTAGATTAACAAAGGTGCGCTAAGTTATAACGCATGAATTCATTAATACTCTAACAATAAAACTTATGGTAGCCACGGACACTATAGCTGAAGTGGCAGTGATTAGACTACTAGTTGTGATGGCTACAATTGTGTTTTTTGGTCATCTTCAAATGATACGAAATGCCGACTTGCGAGGGTAGCCCTTCGTATCTACCTGCAAGTTCGAAGA